TTAATGCATAAACAACTAGCCTGACCAACAGGCTCCTGTATTAATATTCAGAATTATGCTTAAAACTGAAGTATTTACTGTGGGATCCACTGTAAACCTGCAACATTCTAAGTAAAGAACCCGATTACTTTAATGTCTTACAAGCTTCAAATGTCCAAGAGCTGTCATAAATAATAATAAATCCAAAGTGGAAACATGAATCTACACCATCGTTTGCACTAACATGTCATTCAAAAAAGTTACTTATAAAAGGAGGGTTTCTTCATTAAACACATCATGATATTTATGGCTGGAGCATATTAATAATTATCTGACCAAAACTTAAACCATTCATGAAATGACTGGAAGATAAGATGTTGGTCTGTTGAAAGCTCTTTGGTCCATTTATTGTTCCCATTCTGCAGCCCTTGGTTGCTTGGCAGCCATAGCTTACTGTAAATGAACTAAATTTTTTAGGCAAAATTATATATATAACATTATAGTACATGTATGTATTTGATGAACATTTGTGCATTTTATCATATTATCGTACGTTGTAACCATTTTATAAAACAATGAGCCGCAAGAGGTCGTGCGTTACAGTGATTTTACCACAGAAAAAGGGTACCAGGAGTTGGCTCACCTCTGAAACACATGACCTCTCATGGCTTATTGTTTTACAAAACAATAAAAAAATAACAAAAAACTTATTTTTTAATATTTTTCTTTCATATAAAATATTTTAAAAATTATTCAAAAATATATATTTTTTGACACAGTAAAATTTAAAAGATGTCTCCAATTTAACAGACTGGGGCCTTTGACTGGCTTGCCTAAATAGATGAGTGAAGGTGAAGAGGGCACACATTATGTTTTTTCATGTTACGTTTGATGTTACATTTTCCTCACGTTGAAATGAACACTGTGTCAGCCATCCCCACTCCTCCCTAAACCTGACCTTTTACTTCCTGACAGTCTAAATCTGACCTTGTGAAGTGTTCACTACTTCCTCAGTGTGTTGCAGTAGTGTTAGAAGTGGGATTTAACAATTTTCGCTTGACCTTTGAAAACATTTATGGTTTCTAAAGAAAGATGGCCACAGATGAGCCTGTGCTGGAAAAGAGTTGAAGGAAAAAAATTACTGAATTTACTTTGGGAAGTCCATCAAATATCTGCTCACAACTCCCTTTGGAAGATAGTTTAAATTATGCATATACAGTTAGTCAGAATACAGCTCTCTTTTTTCTGCCTCGTGGTTAGCTACGTCTCTTTCCCGAATCCTTCAAATGTGAGTTAGGGTGAATTATGCCTTAAATTAGTGGACTATCAGGGTGCGCTTGATTATATGTATATATATATGGATATGTGATGTGACCTCATTCAAGGAGGATGTTAAGCACTATAAATGCTTTTGCTTTTCTCATTGACAGTACTGGATATGAAGTATTTCTGTGTTGGACTTGGCATTTATCCTCAGTTTGACTTGTGCACTAACTGCAGAATGCTGTGCCGTATTATGTTGTTTTAAGTCTTTGTAAGATAAATAAACTCTCCATAACAAGTCCTTACAGAAAAGTTAAAGTTGTTGCAAGGCCATGATTCATGAAACATCTTTGATCTTGAGTCTAAAAAGCTTCTTTGACTGTAAAAAGTGAAATTGAATTGGATTTTCCTCGCTTTTTTAAAATAATAGAGTTTGATTGAGTATGAAAACATTGTTAAAGTTTCAAAGCATACTATTCATTTCAGAGTCTATACACTCCATATACAGAAACTGAGCTGTGAAAATAACCCATTTTTGATTTATTGTTTTTGTGATGTCACAAAAGTCAACACGTTTGCATATATCTACCTATTCGGTCTACAGCAGTTTAGTTCTGCCCATTCATGCTAAAGTTAAAAGAAGTGTTTCAGCCTGGACTGCTTTTTAAGTGAGGCACAATACAGGGCAGCTAATAAGACAAGACCATGGACAAATATCAGTTTTAAAGGCATCATGGAAAACTAAATTTCCCTTTTTTTTTAAATAAAGGAGTTTAAAGTAATATGTCAACATCGTCAGCGTTTCAAAATGTACCGTTCAGTACCCAGTCAGTACAATCCATATGTGGGAACTATGCTGCGAAAACAGTATGTTTTGGATTCATTATTTTTGTGATGCCATGCGAACCAACTCATTTACATATATTTAATATGTATAACAAAAATACCCTGGTAAATTAGAAGGGATAAAGAGATTTTGGAAAATGGTCATGGAAAAATTAATTACAACTGTTTTGGGGGAAAAACACATTATATTATAAATGTTAGTGAATCTCAAAGGGGAAAAAATACAACACAAGAAAAATGTAGGATATGGATCTTTTAATTCTAATAAAGAGAGTTTTTTTTTTTTAATTTCTGACCTCAGGTTCTTATTGTAGCATGGTGTTCTGTTAACGTCACACTAAATCCAACTGGTTGGATTAGATGTGTGTGCAAACCAATGTACTGTTTTTACTTAAAAAAACACTGCAATACGTTAAAGAAATGCCTCTATGTTTTTCAACTTAATCTTGAACTGCTGCATTTTTAGTGTGTGGTTTATTATCATGGGCAGTAATGTAGACGTGTTTAACTGTACTTTGGAAAACAAACAGAAAGCTTGTTGACTCAAAACACCTATTTAAGGGAAGCTGTGGGGCAGTTGCTGTATTCCATCAGTGAGCATTTATGCAGTCCATGCATTTTTATAGAACATTTTAATGGTTTCTTCAAAGGTAAAGGTATTTCTTAATCACACTGTAAATCTGTATAATTGGCTCTTTCAGAAATATGACTCTCCAGAGGCAAGAATTTATCACCAGTGTAGTGATGTGGGAGTTTACACAGGCTCCTGCCTGATCATGCAAGAATAGCAGAACGCTAAAGTGTTGTTCAAAAGATGAATAAAGCTTCATAAAAACTGTTTTGACAAGATACCCTCTTATGTGCCTTTTGCAAAATCCTGTGCTGTTACAGTGTGATAATTGTAGTCAAATTTTTACTACGTAGTCATGTATTTTAAACATTTATTGCATAGTTTCTGTTCAACATGTCAGACTTATTGTCCATGACAATCGATACGATACAGATGCCAAGCATCCCTACAACCCACTGCAAAAAGATCAAAACTTTAAATCTTTGTAAGTAGACATCATTTTTATAGTGTAGTTGTGCAGTCGTTCTCAGTTGGGCTTTTCATCCAAGCTGCTGTGAACCTATGCAACTGAAAGCAGATTCTCTCGGGGTCCTCACCCTACAGAGCTGGTTGGTGGTTAACACTTGTCTTTTCCCCTGAGCTCTCCCCAATGCAGGTTGGTAGTCTGTGCTCGGGCAACTCCCCTTCCTCTCTTACCCCCAACCCTCTACTCCCCACTCTCCCCACCCTCGGTCAACTTCCTGCCGGCTTCGCTTCGCGCCACTGCGCCAGCAGCCCGACGGCAAAGGGGACCTCTCACCTGCACGCAGCGCCCCCCCCAGGCAGACTACCAACCTGCATCGGGGACGTGGGCGGCCACTGCTGAGGGTGAGTGCTTTCCTGCCCAGCTGCTAGCAGACAAGTGCTTCACCAACCCAGACACAGTTTAAAGTGATAGTTTGGCGAAAATATCAAATTTGCACAGTTTTCCCCGTAGCCCAAATATAGGCGATTATCTAAGTTTAGTGTCTGAAGTGTGCCTCTTTACTTTTGCTTTGGAGCTTATGTAGCTAACAAACAAGGCAGACAAGTATCTGCTTGTTAGCATTGTGTAAACTGCATGCCTAAATCAGTAAATACTTGCCTTAAACTGTACCAAGTTGTCAAGTTATCTCAAATAGACTTACTTATATGCTTTCTGACCCTGTCTTTTTCACAGAGTTTTATCTCTAATAATGTAAAAATGATAGAAAAAGTCAGGTCAAGCATACATTTATCTGTGGTCTGTCTTATAGTGCCAGAAACCATGTGAGCAAATCTGTTTGAGATTACTTAACAACTTAAGACAGTTTGAGCTGTATTATGATTTAGGCTTACAGTTTACATAATAGTAACTGGTGGGATATACACTTCAATTACCGCATACAGTAAAAGTGTACAGTTTAGTGTACAGTTTCTGTTTATTTGCTAAAATTAACATATGGGGAATAATGAAATCTAACTATAACCCATGTTTTATGATTGATCTATTTTTACAATATGTTAAATTCAGAAAAATAAGCAACAAGAAAAAAACATTAAATGCACTTGAAAATTCTCTGTAGAGGATGTGTTCACTTATTTTCACTTAGAAAATCAACAAAACATGTATTTTGACCAGAGGTGCCCAAAGTATGCTACAGATGCAGCAGTTGAAGGGATATCAGCCTCTAAAAAAGCAAATTTTGTACATCCAGCATGTCTAGGCTGAACAGCTACATTTGGGGTAATGGGAGAAATGTAAATGTGATTCTTTGCTGAACGATTCCTTCAATCAATTAAATCCGTTCTGGGCTGTAAAAGCACTCGTTTAGGAAAAGTAAGCACTTCATTGAGAGCTTTGTAAAAAGCACAAATATGCAGAATATCTAGGGAAGCGCGAATGTGCAGAATATCTAGGGAAGCTCTTGACCTCATCCACATCATTATTGGACTCTGAACAGAACGTCTCGAATGATTAGTGAAGATTCCTTTGAAGTTGTTCCTTGGAAGACTACTATTCAGATCTTAGTCTTCTATATAAATGTTAAAAGATGCCGTGAAATGAATTTAGCCCCTTATTTAAATCTAACTCATTAAACCGTCTCCAGTCTTCAGTTCCTTCCTCTTATAACAACATGATATACATAGTTAGTTTTTTCTAGTAGATTTATAATAGCTGGAGTAGTAGTTTTACCTGCATGTTGCTGTTTGCATTCTCAGTTCAGTTTTTCATGTATGTCCACACCTCAAACAGTAGACCTCCTGACTTTCAATTTTTAGCTGTTCAGTCATTTGAAACTCCTCTTTGTTGACCTTGGCTCTGTGCTGTATGTATTTGCAGTGTACTACCGGAAAAAGAACCACCTGCATGCCGTGCGGGTGCGTCTGCAGAGCCCCGAATACAAGCTGAGCAAGATCCGCTCCTCCACCATCATGACAGACTACAACCCAAACTACTGCTTCGCTGGCAAGGCAGCTTCACTGAATGAACTGAAGGAGGTTCCACGCAAGAACATCACCCTACTCAGGTGATCCTGCTCTGTGCAACAGTTTAACACAGGATACAGGTCTTCATACACTTTAGCACAAAGCTTGGAAGCAACACTAGCTTTGTAAAAATAAACACGGAATTTTAGATTTTTTAAAGACATACAGTTTTATGCAAAAGTTTAGGCGCCACTGGTCAAATGAATGTTTTGTTGATCTAAGTGAAGTCCTCACATCCTATATAGAGAACACATTTCTGCACATTTTAATGCACAATTACTGTTTGTTTGCTAAATTTAACATACTGGAACAAAAAATAATGGCCTGTCTAAAATTTATAGAAAAAATGCCATATTTAAGTTGGTTGGTTTAAGTTGGCAGAGGATGTGTTAACTTAATTTCACATATAAAATAAAATATGTAATATGATTGTGACAGAGAGTAATAATGGATAAGAGACAATATAACCTTACTTTACATTTAGTTTGACCAAATTTGACTGAATTTCTTCAGCACTAGTGTACCATTAAATATTTCTTCTTTTGTTTTGCTTTTGGTGATTCTGCAGTCTTATTGCAGCTCTAATCATATTCACCTGATTCACCTTAAGATTAAACTGAATAATAAGTACAATATAGCTGGATAAGTGAATCAGGAGAGTTTGTAAAGAATCAAAAACGGGTCAGTGTAAGGGACTGTGAAGGCTATTAAGACTAAGAGTATATTACCTCAACAAACTGAATATTTTGGAAAACGTGAAGGTGAATATCTTGTGTTACTTGTTGGTAAATTGACTTAATTGTAAATATTTTTGACAAAAAGAAATCATTGCTAGCTTCCATACTTTTGGGCTGGAGTTTACACTGTATGTCCAAAAGCATCCAGACACCCCTGCTTATTAGTGAATTCAGCTACTTTAGGGTGTATCCATTGCTGTCTCTGGTGTTCAACAGAATTGTGTTGCCCACCCAATTCATATGATCTCAGTGAAAAGCACTACCCCACAGGTCCAAGAGAGCATAACTGACTTCACTCTCTCTGTGTGGGTAGAATTAGCCCCCCTCCCCCCCCTTACTCAGTGAGATGCTAGCCAACATGGGTGTCTGTTAGCTGATGTAACAGAATTAGCAGTTAATGTTCTCCTCCAAGTGCACCAAGTTGTGTAATGATGTTGCATTTGCAGCAGTTATATGTGGTGACTGGCTTTACTTGTTTTAGAGGAAGCTCATGTTAGCATTCACCCTCCTAGCTTGGTAGCATTGTGTGGCCTCATTAATGCTCTTGTGGCTGAATGCAATCAAATCCTTACACCAATGTTCCAACACCTAAAGTAGCCTCTCCAGAAGAATCAAGGTTGTTACTGCAGTAAAAGGGGGAACAAACTCTCTATTAAAGCCTATTAATACTCTTGATTTCAGATGAAACACTGGATAAGCAGGTGTCTGCAAACTTTTGGACATGCAGTATATATCCAGGTTAATAAGTTCAAACCATTTGTTCAGTAAAGACATCCAGCAAGTATGAGATTACTGATACAGTGCTGGATGTAATGCTGCATGCTTTCTACGTCATTTGTAGAACTTTGTGCTGTGTGTGTAGTATCTACCAGCTGAGAGATCTTCAGGAATTAATGTGTGGGGTTGGTTTGATTGTAGGGCTTTGGGGCACGGTGCTTTTGGAGAAGTGTATGAAGGCCAGGTTCTGGGAATGAACGGAGAAAACACTGCCATGCAGGTCGCCATAAAGGTCAGTATCCCTCTAAGAATTGTTTATGTGCTTATAGTGTGGTCTGCCTTTTGATAGCTCTTAATTACTTCTGTTTTCCGTTCCCCTGCCTGTCTGATAGACTCTCCCGGAAATCTGTTCTGAACAAGACGAGATGGATTTCCTCATGGAGGCACTGATTATGAGGTGCGTTTGTCACACACACACACACACACACACACACACACACACACACACACAAACAAAGCTTCTGTGGTTGCACATGTGCAAGACAGGCAGTGAAGGAGGGAGTTATTTGAGCCCGTTGTTAGCCAGAACAACCTGAGGGAATGAAATGTCTTGTTTTCTTTGCGTGTTTGTTTTGGTTACACACTTCACAGATGTTCCTTGTTATTGAGGTCCATTTTAATGCATCCTCTTCACTCAAACAGCAGCTGCTCTTCCGTTTCAACAGTCCAGACATTTATGAAGCACACTACAGTATAGCTTACTGACATCACTACAGCCCCCTGAAAGGGCTTTTGATGTAAGCGAAGACTGGACGCAGTCAGTTAATGGCATAAACCTTTTTACCTCCTTGAAGACTCACTCAGTGTTGTTTGTACTCTGAAAAAAGCATGCTAAACCATCAATTGTATGTAAGGATGTAAGAGAATGTGTCTTCTGAAGATGTACATGACTTATCTAATATTGTCATCAGTATAATGCTGATTTTACATTTGATATAAAGATTTGGTTACATAGGTACGGCTAGATGTTTAGGTCTCAAATTCCAAATCAGCATTATACTGATGATGATATGATGATGTGACAAATCCTTCACCAGATTTTCACTGACTTCTTTTTAATACTCTTTCAACACGCACACAATACATCAGATTCATCTGCTCAGGGAAGGGATGTGAAGCACAACTGACATTACAAAATGTTGCATGCAATTTCCACCAAACAGGTCTCTAAGTCCCCAAAACGTACATAGGGTAGCTAAAACAAATAACTTTACCAGTTTTAAAAACCATTATGAATGAAAAAATACATATAAAAATGTGTCCACATGTTGATGTTCACTGTATGTAAAATTATCATACAGACTCACTTGGTGTTAGGCTGAGAATTCCTGTCATACAGCAGTGCAGAACTTTTTCACAGCTGCGAAAATGCTCTGACCTAAAGCACGGGATGTAAGCATCTTAGACGTGTGTTTTTTAATCATATAACCATGAACATCCATCAGCCATGCACATCATAATATAACAGTGTTAAATGTTAAACCTCTACTTTGTAAGTGCTGTTTGTCCACCATTAATAATGCTTATTTCTGTTAGCTCTCCAAAGGCACTTCCAATGTTATATTAGCATCATGCAGCTCTGCCTAGACGCTGACATTTGAGGCGTTTAACAGACATTCTAGTTACATATTACATATTTTTTGCTTTGTATGTTGCAGTTTTACCCAGAAACATGAACAGTAAACATTTCTTCTTAAAGCTAACTCTGTAGGGGCTCCCGAGTGGCGCAACCATCTAAGGAGATCGCGAGTTTGATCCCTGGGGATGTTACATCAGGAGATCGCAAGTTCGATTCCTGGTGATGCTACAGCCATCCGTAGCTGGGAGTCCAAGAGAGCACAATTGGCCTCACTCTCTTCCCCCATCACTCAACGCGATGCTAGTCAGCGCAGGTGTCTGTTAGCTGATGTAACAGATCTGGCGGTTGGCGCTTTCCTCAGAGCGCATTCAGCTGTCCAATGACGTTGCGTGAGCAGCAGTTCGAAAAGAAGCAGTGGCGCTTCACAGGTCTCGGAGGAAGCCTGTGTTAGCCTTCACCCTCCTAGCGTTGATAGCATCGTGTGATTGGGGGAGTCCTAACTAGAGGGTGGAATTGGACACGACTAAATTGGGGAGAGAAAAAAAAAAACTAACTCTGAATAGTGCTCGATTAGCATAGTAGGTGAATACATGCATATATTTGTGACCTCTTGCATTTTTGTTGTCTGACATAATTCTGTTCCTGGACACTGAAATTTTCATATTTTATTATGTCTCCTGAAGTATTAACTGCTTTTTTTAATCAGATCAAAGCACTTGTATGCAAAAATTTGCACTGGGTAAAGGTGCACTTTTGGTGACATCAGCAGTTTAGACACTAGACAGCAATGCAACTGAGTAACTAAGATGATTAGGTTCTGTGTCTGAACTGATGTCTGTCTACCTTAGATTGCAGATAAGCACAGCTACTCATTAACTGAATTTACTCCAAAATTAAGCCACTAATTGAGTGTCCTGGAATTTTCCAGGGCTGAGGTAGTAACTTTAGTCTCTGAAGGGAGCATGACGTGATTAGAATGTGACAGCATAGTGGGAGCTTGAAATCAGAGCTGCTCTGCATTTGTAAAAAAAACAAAAAATCTGTAATTTATTTGGTTAAGATGCAGGGACAGTATTAAAAAGTGTCCACGATAACATTACCACATGTTGAGTGGTATCTGGCAATCATCTTTGACAGTTCAACATATCATTAAGTAAAATTATGTCGGTTGATACCTTTAGAATTTTTAGCTCCTTAAAATTGGTGATTTTCATATTGATTTTCCCCTAATAGGAATAGTACAAAATTACTTATGACTTGTAAAATTGTACCGTGCTTTTACATTCAAGTACGTCTCTTGACGTGACTCTTTTGTGTACATTTGCAGTAAATTTAATCATCAGAACATAGTGCGCTGTATTGGAGTCAGTCTGCAGATCCTGCCCCGGTTTATTCTTCTAGAGCTCATGACTGGAGGAGACATGAAGAGCTTTTTGAGACACAACCGTCCCAAAGTTGTGAGTGACTCTAGTGTGTGTATTGTATGTTTATTGTATGTCTGTCTGTATACAAACACACACTTTGCAAAAGACAGAGGCCACACTTTTTGAAATTCCAGGTAAATGACTGTTAAGTAGTTCATTTTTCAGGAGATGATTAGAAACAAGGTAGTCCATCATTAAATGGATGACTTGGATTGTGAGAAGCAAAGAATGCAACCAACTTCTGAGACTGAACTTGGGAGGTGTAGAAAAATATCCCTGAAGATTTCATAGAAAACTGAAAGCAAGTCTGAAAAGAGTGGAAGCTGTAATAAAGGCAAAGAATGGATACACTAAAAAAACACTGATTGTTTTTCTGACACTGAAAAATATCCTGCACTTAATGGCCATTTTGACTTTTGCACAGTATTATATGAGTTTATCCCTTACAAGTCACAGATATCACTGGTGATAACATGGTATAATAGAATATTAATTATTTCTCACTCTAATTAGAGATATTTTATTATGATTACGGTCTGGAACGTTGTTGCTGTTTATACAGGCTTGTTTTGTGGGAAGGAAAAACATCCTTTCTGACTCGGTACTCGGTTGGTACAGAAAGTAACTTGAATGTAAATGTAATTCATTACATAACAGACTGTGTAATCAGTTGTGCTGTTATGTAATCACGTTTAAATACTATAGCAAACCGACTGCAGACTTATAAGATTTAAACCAGTATTTGTGTGAGTGTGTTGTGTCAGTGGGATTATAAATCTGACTGTGTGTTGAGCTAATCTGACTGCTTTTACAGAACCAGGCCTCCACCCTGACTATGCTGGAGCTGCTGCACATGGCCAGAGACATTGCATTTGGCTGTCAGTATCTAGAAGAGAACCACTTCATTCACAGGTACTTAACACACTGCTGAAATGCTACAGCAGCATTTGTAAACTCTGAATAATGGCACAAGTGCAGTTCCCACTATGAATGTAAGTACCAGATTCATAGTACAACATAGCAGTACATTAATTCAGGTTTGTCTTCTTGAGCTGTGTGAATCGACTCGGACTGTTTGTTCAAGCTGGTTAGGGATTAGAGAATCAAACATGGGTAAACTGTAATGTTTCATTTTCCATTGTAGAGACATCGCTGCACGGAACTGCCTGCTGACTTGTCCTGGTCCAGAGAGAGTGGCCAAAATTGGAGATTTCGGAATGGCTCGAGACATATACAGGTTTTTATTACTGTCTGTCCTGTTTCATCATTTGCTGTAGAGGATTGATGTGCTTCTCCTGTTCATGTTCATACCCTACAGAGATCTAAATGCAGGCACTGATAGGAACAAGCTCATGCTTTATAGTACCTTTTATACTTTCCTTTCGTAATCTTACATATTAAATGCAAATCTATAAATGTAATTAGACAAAACTACTTCAACTCCTTAAACTGCCAGGGACCTGTTTGTGGGTACACACTAAAATTCCTCACTCTCATAACTTGGCTGCTACTACTTCATATTTTTACTTTCAAATATCCTGTCTAATATTATCTTGACTGTTAGAATATTCTGTAAGGATAAGAAAGGCTCAAGATGTCTTTCACTTTAATGACTGAATTAAAAACCATATTTTTATTATTATTGTTAATTTACTTTTTTATCCCATTGCATATATTCTGTTCAAATATTTGCTTTTCTATTTGTCATTTAATAAGGCTGAACTGAAATACTACAAGATAATATATAAACATTTATTTTCTTAGCAAGTGACATAAAATGCTAATGCGGGGAATCCAGTCCAATCTGGCAACACAGTAATGAGCGATGCTGGAGAGCAGAAAGAAATGCATCTTTTTTAAGCGTCTCTTTAAACTATTTTTTCCAAGGCAGTGACCATATTTCAGATTATGTATAGTCAAGTTTTTCAAATGATGAAAACAGCTTTATACAGTAGCAGAATCTACATTCAGCAGTATTAGTCTTAATACATATACATAAGTTCCTTACTGCTTTGGACAGCTCACCAGTCTCCACACTCTCATTTATTCTCAGAAACAAATGCAAAATAGCAGACTAGCTAGCAATCCAAATCAGTAGAGCTTATTTAGACTGTACTGGGCGATTACAACTCTTAACAAATTAGAGCTCTAATAAACAGATGAAAACAGAGCCTAACAATCCATACTTCTGACTATATCCAGAGAGCTTGATAGGTTCTGTCATTCAAACCTGCTATGTAAGAGCAGGAGACTCGAAAAAGAAAAAGAAAGTGACAAAACCAAACACTACAAATACTGTACTATACATACCAACTATTGAATATAAAACTAATAGTGTACTATTTTGACATACTCTTAGTGGTATATTGTTTTGGACACAACCTGTATCCTAAGACTACACCAGCAACTATATCTTACTACAAAAGGGTTGGTGGCACAGTGTGCAAGATGGCACTTGCTTGTTACTGGTGACTAGCTTTATAAACAAAAGCTTGTCAGTGATAAAATCTGCAGAAGAGTGTATGGTTTCATAAATTGTTGATTATTCCAATGCCTCAAATATGTAGGAACATCTGAATTGAATGTTACTAACTATACCTGATAACTGATCTGTAGGGCCAGTTACTACAGAAAAGGTGGTCGTGCTATGCTGCCAGTCAAATGGATGCCTCCCGAAGCCTTCCTGGAGGGCATCTTCACCTGCAAGACTGATACTTGGTAATACTGTCATTTTGTGATGTCTTTCATTTTTATGCAATGTTTTATTTTTCTAGATTGTGGATAAATTTTATTTGAACAGTTTTAATGCTATTCATGTTATTTGAATTCATAAATATGCACTGAAAACTGGTGAATTGAAGGTGAACATTGAATTTACTAGATTTAAAAGTGTACATCATTTCCACTTACCAAGTAGCATACACTATATGGCCAAAAGTTTGTAGACAACTGCTTATCTAACATTTCTTCTGAAAACAAGGGAATTAATAGTGTCTCCCCTTTGCTGCAGTAACAGTCTCTAAGAGCATTATTGAAGTCAGGTACTGATATTGGATGATTAGTTCTGGATCACAAACGGCATTCCAACTCATCCCGAAGGTACTCGATGGTGCTCCATAAAAACCCACAGCCCAGGGCAGGGTCATTATTATTGGGCATGATGTGCTGCTGCCTTACAGCATCCCATTCTATTGGTGCTTTTATTTGGAGATTATAAGCTGTGTGTGCACAACTGAATGCCTGTGTCAGCAAAAAGTGCACCTTAAAGGACCCGAATTCACTAATTAAAAGTGTGTCTGGAAACTTTTGGACATGGTGTATATTACATGCATTTGTCTTTCAGTTTAATTACCTCTGGCTGTAATTGTGTTGATGTAATATCTTGTTAATGTGAAAACCAATTTGAATCGAGTAAATTAAATGTATTATTTTCCTTCTTTTCTGTATGGTAACTTGTGCTCCACGGTGACAAAACAAGCTTCTATATTATTGTGTGTGATTTGTCTCCCTCTGTAGGTCATTTGGGGTACTGCTATGGGAAATTTTCTCCCTGGGCTATATGCCTTACCCCTGTAAGACTAACCAGGAGGTGCTGGAGTTTGTGACAAGTGGAGGACGCATGGATCCTCCAAAGAGTTGCCCAGGCCCTGTGTAAGTAGCAGCATTTAGATGTATTTACCAAACAGTGTCAGTGTAGACACTGTTGCAAGGTAGCATCCATAATTTCCTGACTGAGGCTTAAAAGTACAGCTTGTTATCACACGAGGCAATCCATTGTTGTTCCTTCTAGTTTAGCTGAATAGCCAGTATGATGCACTAAAACAAAAGTATTCTTTTTTATCCTGGTTTTGGTGCTTATTGAGAAACATTATTATTGTCCTGTTGTAGGTATCGGATCATGACGCAGTGTTGGCAACACTGTCCAGAGCATCGGCCAAACTTCTCCACTATTTTAGAGAGGATCAATTATTGCACTCAGGTATAAATTTAGTTTTATTCTTGTGGAGTTTAAGCTTAAACTGATGGTTTGGCCAAAAGACAAATGTAAACATTTTTCACTTTACCCCAAATCTCTTCCTCTTTCTCTGATGATGTGGTCCAGGACCCTGATGTCATCAACACGCCTCTCCCAGTGGAGTATGGGCCGGCTGTGGAGGAAGAGGGCAGCACTGTGATTCGTCCAGAAGGCTCTGGCAGTATGACCCCTCTTCTGGTGACCCATTCTATGTCACAAGATGCACCTCTGCAGCCTGGCGTCTCTGCCCCACTCCCTCAGGTCCACAAACCCCGCTTGCTGCTACAACGACCCGCCCAAATGACTCAGGAGGTAGCCACCTACCGTGAAGCTTTAGAGCCATGTTGGGCTGAGCCAGTTCCTGCACCAGGAACCTGCTCTGGTTCCTGGCTACAGGTTCCAGAGCACCGGCCGTGCTCGAGATCCAGCTCCTCCTCAGGCAGCCAGAAACTGAAGAACAAAACCAAGAACCTGTGGAACCCAACCTATGGTTCCTGGGTTCTGGAGAGCTTTGGACGGGGAAAGACAGCCCTGTCCCACACTCAGTCCATGCCTCTGTCCTGTACCTCCACTGGCTTGACTGTGTCTACCTCTACCTCAGAGCACAACGACTCTGGAACAGAAGCTAATACTTCCCCATGCTCAAACACACCTCCTGCACCCTCTCAGAATGCCGCCAGTCCTTCAGGACCTTCAAGTCTCGCATCGCGGAAAGGGACAGCCGGGGCTGCAGGGGGCCCACTCACTGCAGTCATGGACCTGGCCAAGCTCCAGAGCTTCCCTTGTGGCAATGTAAATTATGCCTATGACGAGCAGAGCTATGAGGCAGAGAGTTTGCCCTTAGTAGTTGCCAGGTCTCCAGAACCTAGCACTAGCTCTGCAGCTAGTTCCTCGCTAGCAGCACTGGGCCTGGCTTCCTCCTCCGTTAATCACAAACCACCAGTCAAGCGTCATGCCAGCTATGGACATGAAGATGTCAGGAGGCATACAAAGCCCGAGAAACCCACGCGGGACAGAGACTCAGGCTTCTCACTGTCCGAAGACCTTAGCGTTACCCCTGTGTAGCATTTCCAAAGTCTTGCACTTAACTAAAGCACCGCAGTATCCTGAAAACCCCCAACACCTCATTTTGTTTGGGTTGCGCAACGAATCAGCAGACGTTTTTTGTGTAATCTTTTTGCATATGGTACACTGAAATTTTCCATGACTGAGACTTATTGCCCAGTGTTTGCTGGAAGCAAGAGCTACTTACTGCTGAAGAACAGACACATGGCATTGCTACTGTAGAGACGAAGGACATTATGAAAGGCGGTGCCCTGTTTTCTAGGTCCAACTGGCTCATGGTTTCTATGGGAACTTGCACAAAGCTATTAGGAAGCCCTTGGCTCCTAGACCCATTTACACTGGATTCTCATCTGCAGTCAACACTGTGAAAACACATATGTTATGTTCACTTTAAGATACCACATACAATTCTGTCGTTTGATGTACCAGCATTAGATATAGAGCAAGCAGACAAAGATCTCTTTGAGAAGACCTTCTAACTGTTAGTAGTCCTTGTAAAGAGGAATCGAGAGAAATACAGCCAGTTTCAAGCTGGGCTTTGAAATTCTCAAGGGTGGTTTTGTAAATACCCAAAACCTTATTTTATTTATTACTGAAAGGCTATGAACGTGTTAGAGTAAGTATAGCAGTTTTGCAATTGGATGGACCTCTCTTGATAAAGCAGTGAAATTACTGGAAAAAAGGTAAACATGGAAAATTACTTAATCATTCAGTGGTTTAGATGTAAACAAAATCATTCAGAGTGATTCAGTGTGAAATGTGCCTTTCTAGAGAAATTTGCCAAGTCAGAATTGTTCACCATTATAGTACCAGGAACCAAACATCTGGCACTAAATGGTACTAAAAGCTACATCCCATTAAGTTATTACACAAAATCGTTATAAATACGTTGCCTGATACCTGAGACATTGTTTTGTGATAGTTCTGTTATAAAGTTTTGGCATAACTATAACTCCAGGATCACTTCTGTGTTTCCTGTCAAAACCGCATTATCAACTGAGATCAACATGCGCAAGCTAACGTGCTTTTGTTGTTACTAGCCTGTAGCTACAGCCGTTCAACATGGCTGGTTCAATGCCAGTGTTGTATCCGATTCACTTCCCCCTCAAATTCACGTTCCCTTTGACAAATCAGGTGCTCGGGTGCACGCATTCACTGAGAGATAACAACACCAAGCATCACTGGAACTACGGAAAGCGAAAAGGTTAAAAAAATGTTTATACGGCAGCTGTGCTCACCAATCGGCAACAAACGGTTAAAAAGTATTTATCAGTACGATTGTTTGCTGTTTGCTCAAATTGAAAATAATATTTATTGCAGAATCTCAATTATGCCGTGCATCTTGGGTGAATATATATTGGGGATTTCCGTAGTTCCAGTGTTGCTTGGTGTTGTTTTCTGTTCAGTGAACGCGCGCACCCGAGGACCTGATTTATCAAAGGAAACGTGAATTTGAAGGCGAACTGAATTGGATACAACACCGGCAGCAGCTTTTGTTTACAGTTTATTTTTAGTTTTCTTATGTTTTCGGAAGATGGTAAAGTGTGTGGAGGAGATGAGGTGTGTTTCCAAAATGTCGTAGAGCCATGTCAATTTGAACTAGAATACACAAATGACTTGCAGCGGCTTGAAGAAGATAGAGCAAACAAGGGAGAGAGAGAGAGAGAAAGAGAAAGAGAGAGAGAGACTCTGAAACCGCCGGTGATGAAGCAGAAGAACCCAGGGCGAATGGAAATTGGCGGTGTCAACAACAAACTACTTGCTCCTCTGCTCACCAGTTTATGGGGTAGGACAGCAGAATGCAACTGTGATCTATCGCAGCTCCTCTGATGAATAACATCACATAAGCTCTGAGTTTTGCTGACACTGTGTGACGCAACACCGCCAACCCAAACAACACAAAAGGCGTGCAGGGCGGAGAGGTACATACAGGGTGGAATTTAGCACTGTTTTACCATTGTCAGCATGACATATAAAACATATAAGACACATGTAAGTTCAGTGGTCATTTTGAAAAGCAGATATAATGGTGATATTTGTAGTGCAGATATATGGACGTCTGGTTCCTAGTACTACAATGGCGAACAATTTTGACTCAGTAAATTTCTCTAGAAAGGTGCATTTCACACCAAACCACTCTGAATGATTTGGTTTACATCTAAACGGTTGAAAGATTAAGTAATTTTGCAAAATCTGCAGAGTTCCCCTTTAAATAGGTTGTTCCAGATGGTGCCAAGAGGGTGTTTTGGATCTCGGAGTAAGAGAACTACTTTGGGAACCGTGCTGACCTGATGCATACTCTTTGCTCAAGCTTAAAATATCAGGTTGATTGTAACAAGTGTCACTCTGAAAAATAGTGCCAAAACATCAACAGTTTGGATTGCGTTCTGTGTTTTGTTCTTTTGTTTTGTCTGGTTTTAATTTTGGAAGGCAGTACTTAGGAAAACATGACGTGGTGCCTCATTGTATGAGGTGTGTGAGTGGATTAAATGCTGAGGTTACTGTAAGGACTTGCTGCAGGTTGGAGTGCGTGAGGTGTGAGACACCCTTGTATGGGATTGTTGTGGCTGCTTTCTTGGGTGGAATATATGTTTTCTTTAGTGCAGTACTTGTATGCAACATTACTTTCTGTAAAAATATATATTTTTTCCTTTCTTTTTTGCCAAAATACCTAACAAGCCTGTGAGGTGTAGTGTGAAATTCTTCACCACACTTTCTGGCTTTTTGAGAAACCTGGAGAAAGCACATAAGAAAACTGATAAATCCACATTTTTGTTTATACGCTTGGCCAGTACACCATTTTAGTGTTGACCTGTAGTGTACACCATTTTAGTGTTGACCTCAACATTGACCTGTTAAGTAATTAAACAACAAATGAAGTGTCTGGCCTTTATTACATCACACTGAAATGATGTTAAATCCGATCAAGATTAATGTATAATTATTGCAATAAGATCAAATCTTTTCTCACATCCCGTACAAAAAAATTCCACTTAGAATGCTTTAGTTTACATATTCTTAAAATACACCTGCAAAATGAACAATTTGTTTGTTATGGTCAGGGATTACTGGTAAGCCATGTCTATAGAAACTCAAGGAATTGATCAGAGAATGTGAACATAAAGCTTATTAGATCTGATGATTCTTCTTTGTGTTTTACAGTTTGAACTGCCATTTAACGTTTACTTTCATGTTAAAGAGCATAACCTCAAACGATATACTGAAACCTGTAGCTCTTGTTTCCAATGTTTTATACTTGCAAAGAAATGTTTTCTTGCTTTGTGTTTGCATCGTTCCTTCTTTACTTTGCAGATACATGTGCATCTTTACTGGGTTGATACATAGTTTTAGTTTCTCTTAACCAGGAAAATGAATACTAGACCTATAAATCGATATTGATTTTACTCTGGACTAACAATTATAATATGTAGCTGTATATTATTTAATCTCATATGTACTCTCTTTGTTTTATTCTTTGATTATTGTGACTTTATCACTGCCAATGGGCTGCAGAAACCCTACAGTTTATGGAGGGAATCTGCAGCATCTTCAATAACCACAAGAGGGCAAAATAGATGTTGTTGGAAAGTGTGCTGGTTCTTTTTTCTGAGTCTGGGAAAAATGTTATTCCACAGGAGGATGCTGTCTGGGAGTAATCCTAGACCTGAAATAAAAGCTGTTTTTGTTTTTATTAAAAGTTCTGATTCTGACAGTGACTGTGATAGTGTAGTGTGTGTAGAAGCCTGATCTACACCTGACATTTAGACCTTTAAAAGGTAAAGCTATGAAGTATAAAAGGAAACATGGACAGAGAATTTATGCTTTTTTTCAGAAGTTCCTTAAAACATTAACCATTAATGATGTTTCTTTTTTTTACATTTCAATAGTATTCTAGAAATAATTGCTTTTTCAAAAGCATCTGTCTGCCTGTCAGTTGATCTATTACTCTGTCTGTCTAGCTATCAGTTTGTCTATCCATCTGTATCTGTCTGTCTATCAGCCTATCTATCTATCTATCTATCTATCTATGTATCAGCTTGCCGATCTATCTGTCTGTCTATCTATCTATATACCTATCTGTCTTTCTGTCTGGTATATGTCTGTCTAGCTGTCTGTCTGTCTATATATCTGTCTCTTAGCCTGTCAGTCTATTACTCTATCAATCTGATCTGTCAGATAGATCAGTCTGTCTATTTGTTACTCTTTCTATCTGTTTCTCTATCTATCACTACATCAGTCTGTCTGATAATCTGATATTTGATCTGTGTCTATCTGTAAATCAGTGTATCGGTCAATTGATCTGGGTCTATCTATCTACCTACCTACCTACCTACCTATATCTATATCTTTCTGTCAGTCTGTTTCTGTCCATTTTCTTTTCTATTTCTTTTCCAGACACAGTGCATTTATTAGAAAATCAAAAGAACATAAAGCCTCCAGATAATCAAGTATGCTGAAGTCCTGCGCTGGACTCATCTAGGAACAGAAAAGCATATTTAATTTTTCAAGCTTTTTATTATGAGAAACTCTAAAATATGTACATTCTGTGACAAGAAATACTTCCACCTGATCCCTAAAAACAATAGTGTTTCAAGGTAAAATTTGTCCGATCTGTCTTGAAAAATACTTTCATATGAATACAGAAATGCAGATTGCTGCCCATGTGTTTACACTTAATGCTGAACACCACAGAAATCTAGTAAAGTCTTAATAAATCAACAGAATTATTCTCAATACCATTCTGCACCACACGCTTTATAAATCATCAGAAACATACTAACATTTTGTGTTCACAGACTGATTTGTTGCATACTAGTTTGATCTTCAAGTAGGAATATTTAAGAGAAAAAGTGTTAGGATCAGAGGTCTCATCATGGTCAAAACCCCCAGACCTACGTAAACCCACACACTTTATTTTACTAGATATTTCATGGGCTGGTAAGGGCACACTTATGGATAGTCATACTTTAAGAGATGAAGCATTATGGAAACATCAGCCAGGAGACAGGCTGAAATAACAAGCTACATTTGTGAGATGGCTTCCCAGCTCCAGCCCTGCAGTGCAGGAATCTAGCACAGTTTGCTGATTTCCCTGCTTAAACACACCTGATTCAACTCGTCAGGTAATTAACAGGTGTAGTAGTAGGGGGCAGAGTCGAGTGTACCTGGACCTGACTAGCCCCCCTAATGACCTGCTGCCAAAGGACATTCCTCTGCAGACCTCTATTTTATAGACCATCTGTTTTTACATCTCTTGGCTCAAGCTCAAGGCTTGGCTGCTGACCACCAAGTTGAAGATGGTGCCATCAGCCAATCAGAGTTTCATGTCACTGGCTAAAAGTTTGGTGCTGGAAGAAAGTCGCCATGAAGCTAAGATGGGATAAAGTTCCCATTTAAATCTCGCTAATGCTAACGACTCTCTTCAGACCATATGATATGTCTATGTTAGGTAAACTGGGAAGCCAAATCTGGGAAACTGTGTTGGACTTAAGCCCTCCTGGCCTATACTTGTCCACGCTTAATTTGGGTCAGCCATGTCAAACTGGTTTCTTCTGGGCCACAGCTCTGCAATTTCCTTCATCTACAGCTCTGAATTCAATTTACTGCTGTATTCCAAAAGCTAGGCTGCAACTGAGAAAGGTGTGTCCTCGGTAGTCCTGTTTCTTAGGTTCTTAGCTTTTTTTCAGATACATGCGCAGGCAGAAGATAGGAGGGATACTCTGATAGCGGTTGGCTTCTGATTGGAACAGTCTTTGATGACTTTGATGATGCAGTCTAGAAACGCAGCCCACCTAGACTGCAGCCTGGCTTTTGAGATGCTGCTCATGAAGGCAGAACTACACTCTGCAGTGCTGTGGCCTATGAGTCTGAATTGGAATCCGAAGCGAGTCAAAAAGCAAAACGACACGGCGACAAGTAAATGTCCATGTGTCTGGCAGGAGTCCTACAGTCTGTGAATGTGGGCTGGGGGTTGGTGATTTCAATTTGTTTTTAACCCAGACTGATGTGGGAGAGGTAGTCGATCTTGTGTCTGGCTTTCATCACCACTGGACTACAACAGTTGAAGGCGTGAGGGCAGTCTGTAAAGGTTAAAGGCCCTTGCGGTTTGTCACATGGTCTATTTCTGCTGTTGTGGTGTGAGTACATTTGTGGTGAAGTTGTGCCACATGACCTTTCCTGCATTTCAAGTTTCTGCAGTTGGATCTGCAACACTTATTACTACAGTTATTTCCCTAGTGCCCATGTATTTAGTTATTATCTGTAGTCTTATAGCATCGTACACAATTGCATTCTGGAAAGGGTGACTAAGCTACCATGCATCCTGCCATGCTTTCTTATTACTAACTCAGTTCACTTTGGGGACTTTGCTCATGAGTCATAACCAGCGTTCAGCACGCTCGCCAAGGGACATTATACCAGTCATCACTTGCATTGTTATGTCTCCATTTGTTCTAAAAGCAAAAGGCCCACACAAACAAGTGATTAATTTCACAACACCTTCAGCTGAGAAACAAAGCATTAGCACAGCACCATTCTTGGCTAAAGACAGAGGTAGCGAGTGTGCTAGCTGAATTCGGTAAGCTTCCTTGGATGCTGTCTGTCATTGCAGTTGGGTGTGACTAGCTCATTTGTACTCCTTGTGCACTTTGAACAGTCTTTGCCTTAGGTAAGTTTCTTATCTGATGTGAGCAACACCACGTTAGTTTCCAGGGGGACGTTAAATCTCTACACCTAAACATTTAGTAAAGCAATGTGCCTCTTCAGTTTGATGGTAATGGGCTTTTGGTAATAGACCTCTGAGGTTCTGCTTCACTTTGCAGTTGGTGACGTTTCCAAATCAGGAACTCTGGGCTTAAGGAGTTTTTGTTTATGGTGGAAAAAAGAGTGACGTTTTGCCCCATCATACCCAAGAAAAAACATTCCAAGGGTGACACATTTTGTTCTATGCACAATTTCTACCAAATATCATTGGGCCCTTTGAATTATGAGGTCAATAAGTATTGCTAACAAATAAGCTAACAGTCCATTGTATTTAATTCATGTGACTACATCAATTTAAAGGTGCAGTGGGAATGATTCAGGGGAATCTAGTAGCACAATCACTTGTAACTACGAACTGCTGTGTTTTCGTTAGCTTAGAATGAGCCCTTCATATCTACATAGGGAGCAGGTCCTCTTCCAGCAGAGGCCGCCATGTTGCGCTGTCATGTTTTTACAGTAGCCCAGACAGGACAAACCAAACACTGGCTCTAGAGAGTGCCTTTCGTGTTTTTACGGTGAAGCGGCAGCTTGAATTTGATGGTTCTGTTGCACAGATTGGAAGACGTAGAAAAAAATCAGTGGTTGCTGCCGGTGCTGGCAACTATTCTGTAAGTAGTTTGAAAACCAAAATTTTGACACACTTATTATTTAGCACAATAAAAAGCAAGGGAGGCATCAAAGAAGAGGAAACTTGCTGGCCACCGTAGGTTGTACTATATACTTGGAAAGGGAGGGGTGAGGGAGGGGTGTTCAGTTGGTTGCAATCTACCACTTCACCGCTAGATGCCACTAAATATTACACACTGCTCCTTTAATTAATGTGATGTGAAAGTAAGGATATTACTGTAACAGTAACAACAACACTGTTACAAAACATCATCTACTCAAACTGTGGTCAAAGTCACTAGCATCCCTGACCAATCTTGCTGTTTTCGCATGGTATTGTGGTGAGGTTGTCAGTGTTATGTTGCCAGTTCCGTGTGCAGGAGTGTTAGCTTGTGTGTAGCTTGCATATTCGGGGGGCTGGGTGTACACAGAACGCAATGTGCAGATTTTTGAACTTGTCAGTTCCCCCAAAAGCGGGGTGGTAAGTAGTTCCATTTACTCAGTTAAAATTCCAAAGCGCAGCACCCTAAAGCCATTTTTTTAAACTAAAAACTGAAGTGTATTGTTTTGAAAAAAAGTTTTAACACTTCTTTTCAAACTATCAAAATAATAATATTATTACTGTGGTCAGTTCTGCCTTTTTGGAGGTCCTAAGTACGGTGTGTTCAAGTGTTCAAGTGTTTGGAATTTCGTTTAGAAACAAGACAGACATGCTGTGAAAAATGCTTTCTTTTAAGTTCTTTACTCTCATTAAAGAGAGTATGTTTATTTTACTGTATGTTACTGTAACACAGTGAAGGATGCTTATGAGAAGAGTAATGTTTTGTCCAGTTAGAAGCATCACATAATGTGCTGATATTTGTATTTTTGTGGATTATTTTAGTTTGCAGGGTTCATGTGTGGCTGCTGAATAACTGAAATACGGTCAGTTTACAGGGTTTTTTTTTTGTTGACATGCCCCCAACTTGGAAACTTGGGGCTCATCAAAAAATCAAACACAGCGAGAGTCATAAATGTGGGTGGTCTCCTTCCTCCAGCCACAAAATCTGATCACATGTGGCACATGAATGTGTTTCCTGTTCAGATCTTATCTGGATAAACTTTGGCCCACATTCCATTTACACTTTTCACTAAAATGCACCCAAGTTTGGTCAGATGAGATCTGATTGTACTTTTCCCTCATAAAAAGCACGTGAACACGTTGTTTCTGTTTTAATTTTGTTTACTCTTTTCCCATTACGATACGCGTGTATGAGTGGACAGGCTTGGTTTGAACGCTTTCATCTGTCCACTAATCAGTACTCAGCAGACCCATTTCTGAGGATGTGTGTACCTGGCCTTTCATGCAGTCAAGTGAAATCTGAATATGATCTAATCATCAAAAACGCATGTTAATGCAAAGTGTAAACAATTCCTATGCGTCTTCCTGTCCAATTATGATCTGCTTACTTGAGACAGATGTTAACACCAAGTGTGAACAGGGTCTTAGTAAACATGACATTGCGGAGGCATTCACGTGCGCTTATCTCTCAAATATGGAATTCCGGACAGGACTTGAGGGCATTTCACTGGTATGCACCAGCTCTAAATGTTGTTGTATAATAAAAACACTTGTAACGCTCAACATGGCTTTTGTTTTCCTTCAGGAAAATAAGCCAATCAGCTTGCTGGTTACACCGTGAGTGGGGAAAACTCCCCCTCATTGTGGAGATCTGTGTAAGCGCAGTGTCCAGAACAATCCAAAAAAAGGTTAGTTACTGAGCTGCAAACTATTTATGAGCCTTTTATCAGTGATTTTAAATAAGTTATCAGTGATGTTAAATATGTTTTTAAACGGTAATTTGAATCAGTTTCTAGTATTTTTGGTCTCTCACCATTCAAAGAGATAGAGGCCTGGTCTTGTATGCCTTAAATTAACTGCCTGCGGTGTTGCAAAGATGATTGAACAGACTTTCCTATAAGGACTTTGTTATTACCCTGCTGAAACACAGGATGAGTTCAGATATTTGTATGCTCAGATAATCGTGCCCGTTCTGTCCATTTTTCTCTGTTTTTATTGTGGTAAGTTTCTCCCTCTTCTCTGTGTTTGTGTACTGAGACAATAAGAAAGGTACAGCAGTCAGGAACCCTGACTGTTTAGACATGTAGGCCTCAATATGGTGTGCATTTCCAGTACTCTTCAAGTATGTTGTATAAGGCAAAATTCTTTATTTTTAATATGTTGTATAAAGCAAAAATATTTTATTTATTATTAAAAACAAACACAGTTCCTCTACCAATTGGATGCCATTTTTTGTGACATCACATGGTTGTTCTGTCTTGTCCACTGAGTGAGGAACAGTGAGCTAAAGGAAAGATTTAGTACAATATATCATTCAGCCTTTCCAACCCCAACAAAAACTTTCTGAGTGTCTTATTTTCCGTACCACTGACTCCACTGTGACCATGTGACATCACAGTGCGACAATGGCAACCTCCTAGTAGGAGTTTGGCCTGTTTGTCTTGTTATTTTTTATAATATTCTTTTTAGTTTGGTTTATTTGTCATTGTTTAATAATATTAGACATGTACACTATTTTAAGGCATATCAGTCTTAACAGTCCAGATTCCCTTTAAAGGCATGTGTGTGTTTAATCTGCATTATTCTGATCGGAACGGGCTACAGTGAAATGAAGGTAAGAGACACAGAGCAGTATTGCTTTCTCTTTGCTTTTTTGTGTGTCACAGTGCCCACTTTTCCCTTCCCAAACGGTCCAAAGTGTCCCTTCCATTCTTTAACAATTTTCCAGAGTTGCTCAAAAGGGGTGGAGTTATCTGAAACTAGGGGGTGTCGTTACTCATGCATCAGTTCGCTGTTTCCAAGGTATTTTTAAATACTTCAAAGTATAGTTGTGCCAAATCTGTTTTACATTTTAGTCATTAACATTTAGTTACTATTTACTTTTTTGTGTTTACATTTCATAATGTTATGTAGTTGGCAGTGTTTGTACTGCTTCACGACTGGACACACTTCTGCATTTCCCACAAGGACGCCAAAAGAAGAACAGCAGCTATCACGCTTCAGTTCCTATTCCGATAGACGCTGGATGTAGTAAGAAGTCGCACTGCGTTTTTTTAAGTTACTCAGTACTTCAGTAGTGTTTTGACTTGAACTTCCACTCAAATTCTGTTACTTTTACTTTTGCTTTTACTTGAATGTGGCTAAAGTATCAATACTTTTACTTGAGTACAGGTTCAGTCTACTCTACTGACTCCTGTTAATCACAGAGGCGGTCATGATTATTCACATTTCCTATGAACAAAAATAGATTGGACCGAAGGCTCATCCAAATGCTAATCACAAACTACAAAATGACAGCATGTTCTCAGAGGTCTATTGTACATTGTCGGCTGTCTGGTTTTCAATGGGCCTGGCGGTGTAATTATAGTGTTGATAATGGATGTCTGATTGTTCGAATTGAGGCTGCTGACAAACAGAGGTACTGAATGTTGCCTACAATGTTTTCTGTAAATTATCATGTGAAATGCTATCTGTAATATCTAAAAATAAGAGGCTCCAAATTCAATTTATGACCAGCTCTGTTGGACGATGACTCACATTAAGAGGCGAGTGGAGACAAACAGCTGATGAGTCAGAATCTGCTCTGACTACACAGGCAGAGTGACTTTACAGTTCAACATTGTAAATAAAGGAATCGTCACATCACATCTGTCCATAGCACACTGCAACAGGGTCCATTTGTCCCCTCCAGCCCTTTCAGAGACTAGATGGTAGGTTCATTATGAACATTCTGTGCGAACACCAAGTTGTGTACACTCCGTGTTTAGTGAAGCAAGGGTATGAAGCAGATTGTCAAGGCCCCATAAATATCCGTCCTCTCGGTTCCCCTCCTCCCAGGGTCTCCAGTGGTCCAGCATCTGACCGTCTGGTAGAGCCATAGTCTTCCCAAAGTCAATGAGCCAAACCTCAGCTCGCTCTGTGTGGTCGTGGATGAACAGCAGCGAACTCCCAATGACCTTGAAAACAAAATGTTTTGGAACATGTTTTTTGAGACGTTCGTGTTCCTTGGCAGCGCCTGCCTCAGCGCTTTGGTGCGTGGTGTGTATTCGGTTTCAGATGCCTTGTGTCAGTTGGAAATGAGCTAGCCTCTGAAAACAAAAACATGTCATCAAGGAACAAAAGCACAGAAAAAAACTTGTTTACCTCGTGTTTCATGAAGAACTCTGAAGCCTTTAGAGTCTGTCTGATATCCTCTAGCCTCCTAATGTAGGAGCTCTGTAAGAGGCAGACATGAGGGAGAAACACAGCATGAAACAATAACTACACTGAAAGTGTGCAATGGCCATGAAGAATAAGCACAGCATGTGTCCTCATTAGACAAAGCGGTTTTGTGAATGCGACCTATTTGTTCTTAACGTTGTTGTTTTTTTGGTGATGATATCTTCCTGCACACTTTCTGTACCAGTTCCACACGTCAACGGTGGTCAGAATTATGGTCTTTATCGAGTTTCCTGTCCTAATTCTAATCCCCAATAACATGTATTTCAAATGTACAAAAGATTGGCCCCTGTTCAACTCTCCTAATGCCAAAATATTTTATCTTTTAGAGCTTGGTTAGATATAAATAGACCAGTTTTACCATGATATGAAGCAGTTAAACAGATCTAAAGAAAATGGGAATCTATTGTGATCACTGTAATATTTGTCCAGGCCATAAAATCAGAATACGATACGTATGGGGTAAACTGACCAGAATTTTGGTAGTAAAATGTGCAGGCTTTTAATTTAAATATAGCTCTTGCCCTTTCATTTGGTGTGGGAGAAGATTGGTAAGAATGTCAGTGTGGCTGTAGCAGCTGACTAAACAGGTTGCACTGGTTGTTACACACAATTATGTTTCCGTTCCCGCTGACAAAGTCCATGAAGACCTGTGTGACGTCCTCTCTCGAACGAGTCTTCTTAAAGTCTGTGTGACAGGTTCCATCTGCCTTCTGGAAATACAATGGAAATTGTATTCAGTATATATATATATATATATATATATATATATATATATATATATATATATGTATGTATGCTGACTTTATTATACTATAAATCATAAGGTTATCAGAGATCATCTTGTGTTCAAGCAAAGTGTGGAAAACTGAACTTTCAATAGACATGCTCAAGGACATAAGCATTGCTGAAGCAGTGGTCGTTTCAGCTAAATGATAAATGGGTGAAAAAAAGTGCAAAAAACATATTACATTGCCTATTTGCTGAGTTTAACATACTGGGAAAAAATTAGACATATAAAACAAATAAATAAAAAATAACCTTTGTATATGCCACATTTCATGTCTAATTTTTTCAGTAATTGTGCATGTGTTAACTTATTTTCATAGAAAATCAACAAAACATAATTTGTCTAGGGGTACCTGAACCTTTGCATACAACTGTATATACATACAAATGGGTAACAAATTAAAGGAAAAAACAACAACTGTCTTAATAAGTTGTTGGACCACCACAAGCCGCTACAACAGCTACAGTGCGCCTTATACGCCCAACAGTTGGCTCGGGATATGATTCACTTAACTCTAACATGCAGCGTTGACTAACTGTGCATGGCTACTGCAGATTCTGAACATACAGAAATAAAACAAAATAAAAATATAAACTCCACTTGGGTCTTTGCTATGCTTCAAATATTTTTAAGTTCTGTTCTTTTTGGTGTTGTTCCATTATTGTTTTTAGTAGTTGCAGTTAAATAATCCTGAAATCCGGAGGAGATGCAGCTCCCTCAGCACCTCTACTTCCTGTGATCCTGTCCGTGCATCAATAATGAACCCTCTTTCATAGTCAGTTAGATTTTTACCTCTTGTGATCTTGATCCAAAATCAAGGTCAAGTGGGCCTGCTCAGTGTTTATAAATGATACATGGTAGGATGTTAATTACTTAATTGTATCCTGTACATCTGTCTGGAAGCATTTGCACTTGTTATATTTCTCCACTTATTTACTCAGGTTCTTCCTTTTATTTGTCCCCCATCTGTAAATATATATCTTACAGAAATACATTTCTTCTCTAATGTGCAAAGTCATAAATGGTTTCTGCTTTTTAGAAGGAAATGACAGCAAAAAAGACAGTAATGACCTTATGTGACAGATGACAAACATACAATTATTGGAAGTCAATATTTACAGCGTAACCTTTATGTTGACATTTAGGCCTACACAAGCTGAATAATTAATTCCACTGTATCCCATTTATACTACACTACTCCAGCAGGGAAAGCACCCTCATCACATGTTTGTTTCCTGTCTGTGCAGGTTAAGAGAGTAATTATGGATGAAGTAGGAGCCAACCTAGCTTGAGCATGGGTGTAGTTCACTAAACCATTTCTATTTCATATGGATGTTTTCAGTTAATCCATATTATTATTCCATTTCTATTATCTGGATTACGTCAATTGGGCAGCAAAAGTAGACCTACAATAGTAAGCAATTTCCTCTGAAACTTTAAAACTCTAAAAGTGTGGGGTTGAGAAAATAGGTACAACGTGTCCTGCTGTCCCTAGAGGAAACTACACCCTTTGGTGCAGGTACCTTGATGCCCTCGATGCGGAAGCCCATTGTGTTGGTGGAGCTGAGGCTTTCCCTCCACTGCATGTAGCGTGGTTTGGTCACAGCCTGCTGCTTCTGCTCCTCGGGGGTTGGGGCCTCTCTGTCCACGTCCAGCATCTTATTATACAAATCCCGGCGCAGCTTGGGCTTCTCCCGGGCCCGCACCAGCTCCTCCTCCAGATACGTCCTGACAGAAGAGGAGAGAAAAAGCCACAGCGAGGCGTGAGTCACTTAACGACATGCTGCTGAGAAGAAGCCTGACGTGGCCTGCTGAGCAATCTGGTGCAGCTTTTTACAGCAGGTAAACATTTTCATGCCCAACATTTCATGTTGACAGCTATTATTAACATTTTACTATTTACTATTCTATTTAAATGTAGACTACACAATTAATAGCATTGCTAGTAACGTAATGAATTACATTTAGGCCGATGTTTTCCATTTGTATCCAATGTCAAGCAATTCAAAGCATGACAAACAAGTGAAGGATTTTTGTGTACAAAACAAAACTGGAAGCACAACAATAACTTTCCATTAGATTGGAAACAGTAAAATATGTCCCCTTGTAGTTAACAAAAGTGCTAACCTATAGATTGAACTGCTAGTGTAAATAGTCTAATTAAGACTTTTTTATGCTTACTGCATGCGACTGTAATCACTGGTGATAACTGCAACTTCTACAGCTTAAAGGTTTGCTTGCATAAAAACAATGCGAGGAACCATTTTTGTCAGGGAATTTTTACTGTATAAGGGTCAGTGTGACTTTGAGCAGGAATGAAGAAATGGGTTCGCTATCCAGGTGAGTTCCAGTGCTCCAGCGAGTTCCAGAGTTCCAGCATTCCTTTTCATTTACTAACGTGTTCACACACAAAAGAAAATATTTATACTCTCGAGAACAGTAAAAAACCCAAGCTCAGTGCAGTGACTCTACTGAATCCATTGACTCCACAGTCAAAATGAGTCACTAAAACATGAAGGCTTTACTTCAGCTTAGGTTTACTGTGGTCTAGGGCTGAGAAGCCACACAGACACATTACACAGTTCAGCTTTGTTGGAAAAACTCAGCTGACCCCTCCCTACTGTTCTCAGTGCCTTTAAATCATAAGCCATGCCCTCCATTTGGGTTTCTCCCAGGCCTGCACCGACCAAAACAACTAATTGCAGCGAGGTTACATGAGGGGTGTTCTGTCCTGGAGATCTAGCACCTTGCAGAGTTTAGCTCCAACCCTAATCTAAGACACCTGTTCCATTTAATGAAGGTCTTCAGGGGCATCTGAATATTAGAGGCAGATGTGTTGGATCCGAACTCTCCAGGGTAGTAGATTTCCTGGACCAGGATTGGGCACCCCTGTGGTTACATGAATCAAGCTTTGCACATTGTCATCATTATGATTCTGCACATAATCATTGTCATGGTTCTTTGCATTTCCATTTCCTTTTCTTATTCTTACCGGGTAGTGTTATTCAGTTAGCTTTAATTAAGCATATTTTACCTCTCTAGAGGTTCACGTTTGCAGTGTTCTCCCCTCCCAGGATCACTGTGGATCCTCCTGCTTACTAGAAGAGGATGCATGCAACAGTACCACCATTCCTGTAGGAGTTACGGTAAATATATACATCTCTTTCTTGAGTAATACAACTGTTGTGTTACATATAATCAATGTCTTTGAGTCTTTGAGTTTTTGAGGTGTTATACACTACAAGCAGTCCTAGTGGTGAGTCATTACACTCCGATTTTCAGGTTATCTACAGGTATGGAAAACACTAATTGAACTTCATTATTATACTTTCATATTATTTTGTGAGGAAATGAAACAGCCCATAAATGGGCTAATTTGTCTTTTTGCAAGGACCAGTTCTGTCCAGTAATCACCTTATCACACACAAAGTATAGTTTTGACTCCATACTTCCACCTTTAATTAAGACTTTGGACCAAGGAGCCATGTTTTAACTTAAGTATAATTTCTCTGTACTTTTATACACCCTGGTTATCTGAAGGCAGTAAGAAAAGAGTGTATTATGGACTGCTGCAAACAGGAGGGTCGGTGACCATGAGTGGACTATAGCCAGGAACAGAGGTAGATAGTGACTAGTTACATTTACTCAAGTAAATGTGCTTAAGTAAGATATTGATGGATTTGTACCCTCCTGAGTTTTTTTAAATCATAATACTTTTATGTCTACTATATATATGTATATATTAGTATATCAGTGAGTAAATCTCACTATTTCCTCTACTTGCTACTTTTTAGCCATTTATATTTAGTTACTAATTCCTTTTCTGTGTTTAATTTCATTATGTTTTCTTGCTGACAGCATCTGTTCTGCTTTGTGATTGGTCACATCTCTGTCTACGGAGCTTTAGTGTTATATTTTAGACCAAAAGAATCCCAGAAAGGAAAAAATAGAGCCTAACAATGTTCAGTTCCTATACTGATAGATGCTGGACTGTTTAAGAGTGAAAAAATCTTAGAAGAGTTCGTTCTTTCTTCAGAAAAAGCCTCCACTTCGAAGACTTCTTGTAAAACTGGCTCTGGTTACAACTGTAATTTCGCTTAATATGGAAAAAATAATAAAGTCTCATTAAAATCAGATGAAAGAAATTAGATTTATAATAGTGACAAACAGTACATCAGTCAATGGAAAATTAAGGAAATTAAGACAATGTATTACATTATTGGGCAAGTTATTTTATTATCAAGTTTTATAACATTTTTTGACCAAGTGCAAAATTGGATTAAATTTCTGCCTGCTATTATATTATTGATAACTTTTATTAATTATTACATTTTCTACATGGATGGACTAAGAATTTCCACTGCAGTCCTACATGTTACTCAAGACTCAGTAGTACTCAGTACAGTTTTCTGACATGATACTTTTGTACTTCTGCTCAAGTTGTGCTTTTACTTTTGCTTGAGTCATTACTTTACCTAAGTATCAATACTTTTACTTGAGTATGGATTTAACCTCTACCTGCTTCTGGCAAGGAGCAAAAGCTTACCGTCGAAAATCACTGCACTCATAGTGCAGTCAAAGGCCTACTCACAACTGTTAAGTTGAGATCAGATATGTACAGTACCAAAATATCATACTTACTAATAGATAAAGTGAACTTTTAGTCTTAAAAATGTGCACATTGACTAGAGAGGTGGTGTTTACTGGAGACGGTGATTACTTTAAAGACTTTAGAGTTATTTTTGTGTTGCTTTGAGGTTCTTGTTTATTGGTGTTTTAATGTGTGGCTTTCAGTTTCTCTTGAACTTTTTTTGACTTCCTGTGTCTGAAAAGAGGAAGTCAACAAGGGACTCCTCAGACAAAATGTCTGTAAGTGTGTGCGTCTGAGATGTGTGAAGTGTGTGAGAAGGAAGCCCTCAGGGACGCCCCGCATGCGCGCGCGTGTGTGTGTGAGACTGTGTGGAGGCACGGCGTATGTGTGCTACACAGGAAACATGTGGCTATGTTGTTGGCTGTGAGGGCCTCTCTCTTCATGAGCTTTAGCCCCACCCTCAGCCTCCACAGGAAGCAGACCGAGAGCCTAAACAGGTGTTTAGCAGATTGAAGCAACCCGCCACACGCAGACTTTCACACTCACACAAACATGCACCCCAATCTGATTCATCGTACACTGTGTTACAATTAGCGTCACATTTTCAGTAGTTAATTCATTCCATAACCCACAGATTCAAATCTTTAATGGCATAAGCAATTATTTGGGAAGCAAAATGTGAATGTTATAGCAAACTCTTGCATGGTACGGTAAAATTATATGAGCAGTAAGGAAATTTACACAGTGAAACTTTAAGGTAACTTTAGCTGCTTGAAGCCTACATGAAACTAAATTGCACTTGAGTTTCATATTGTAAAGCATCCTGCAAATCATTTGAAACTATATGAAAGTCAGCTGCAACAGCTGAAAGTATCTAAATTTTGTGTAGCAAGTTTCATGAAACAAAACAGATCAAAATAGCAACTATATACTTTCAAACTATTATTGGATCAATGGACAAGAAAAAAAAACTGAAGATAATTTGTTGGGCGGCTGAAAAGGAGACTCCAAACGACCCAGTCTTGGACACAAGATGTTTTTTAACCCTGCTAGAAAAAATAAGCACAACCAGAATATGTTGTGTTTTGGATGCTGGTATGCTGGTCCGCAGCAATGGAAGTTGATAAGCTGACCACTTGCTAAACCAGCATATGTTGTGTTTTTATGCTGGTAGGCTGGTCAGACAGCATGACCATGCTGGGGAGGCAAGCTAAACCAGAACCACACCAGCTTAGACAAGCATGAAATGATTGCTGGTCTGTGCTGTTTTTTTTCGGCAGGGAAATGTCTCGGACTTGTCTTGGACTTGGTAGCATCTGTGCTTGGACTCGCCTCGGTCTCGGCCATTGGTGTGGCAGGGGCGTGGCAGTAGTGTGCTCAGGCGCTTTCCCATCCAAGAAATTGAAGATTGAAAAAAAATGAATGTATTCATTATACTGTTTTCTTTATGAGGTTGGTTGGCATGAATTTAAGGGTTAAACAGCTGACAGTCAGTAAGGTGGGTGTGCACTGAATTATCAATCTTGCTCTAGTTTAGTAAAAATTAGACTTAAACTTGGCCTTTGGTCAAAATAATCAATGTAATGGGATTAATTAGAAATTCAAAGAGACATACTTGTATAAACATATTTACTGTCTTTTTCACTGAAACTGCTCAACAAATGGTAGTTTAGTTACCTATTAACTACCTGCTTTGGTGAGCTCACCTTTTCTCATGTCTTCAGTTGCCTCAGTAAAGGCAGAGGTGCTGCTGAGGCTGAACTTCACTGGGTTCTGACTGCAGAAACACTGTTACGTTGGCTATGTAAAAAAGCTTACTTGCTGCACTGATCATAACTTAAACAAGTAATAGATGAGCAGAACTTTAAAGATGATCATGGAAAATGCAGTCTCGTATTATTTACCTGTACAGTAACACAGAGGATCAACTACCGTTTAAAAAACGATTTCTTTAACCGTCACCAGCGCGCGCTGACCTGCACTCAGCAGCTCGGGGTCTAAACTGAACTGGAGCGGAACTTCAGCAGATTTAGTTCGTCTCAACGGCAAACAGAGCTGAGCTCCGGTGCTGTAATCTGATGTAAATGTAAACCGTTTCGTATAAAATCTATGTAGAATTCATTAAACTACCCCGTGTGACAAACCACTGTGAGAGATAACCCTAAACCTCCACCGCCCCAGTTCAATCGTTTCTTGCCGCCGCACGTTTAAACGGTCCGCCTCCTATATGTTATCGTTCTACTGATTTCACAAGACTGTAAGTATTGGCTGGTTAATTTCTGCTATTTTATGATGTGTTGACTCAAATAGATGTGTTTCAATTTCATTATCCCTCAACAAGTAGCCTAGGTTGTGTGCTATCATTTATTCCATTTAATCTGAAGTGATTTTAAAGCGATGTGTATGGTCGAGTTTGTGTAGTCAGAAAACCAGTAGCTTAGCTGTCAGACTAAGCAAGCTAACTCAAACACAGGTTTATACAGTAGGCTATGTCTGTTCCATGTAAATGGGTTTTTACTGAATTTTGGTAGCCTTGTCTGATGTTTAGTCTACTGTTTTGCTGACTAGCTCTTGCTAAATGTACCCGAAGGCACACATTTGCACCTTGCTTGCTAGCAAGCTAACAGTGTCAGTTTAATATCACTAATCAGAGTTAAATATGTTTGTGATGTGAGGTAGGAAGGCTGTTTACAGTCTGAAAAGCATGTTGCCAAAATCTGACTGGATGGCACTGAACCTGGCAGTAAAGTGTTGCACAGAGGAGAACCATTTCACAAGGTTACTGTATAAACTCTATAGTCAAACAAGGGCAGATGATCTAAGCAGGTAAAAGGACAGGAAAGGATGTTGATGTCAGATGGATGGTGTTATTAATGGGAACAGTTCATTTTCACTTTCATTTCTATCAGAAAAGAATCAGAAGATATCTTGATAGTAGAAAAGGATTACCTAAAATGGCCAAGTAAATTAACTGACTTAATTCATCCATTGAGACAAAAACAAATAGGCTATTGTTTTCAGTCATATTCATTTAGAATGAGGATTTGTTGCATTCATTCGAGCAGGCATTGGTTGGATTCATTCAGAGCAGGCGATGAATGCTAAGAAACTTTCAATCCATACCATATTTGTGTTTGTAAGTAGAAAATGAGGTTTTTTATTGAATTTGATGAGTTATTTTGTACAGTTTTTTTTTGTAATTTTTCCAGTAATTTGTACTGAAAGGAGATAAAGACTAATTAAGGGCCGGTCTTGAAGAGGACTCGATTTTTGGGTTTTAGTATCGACTTGGTCTCACTCATAATATGGACTTGAACCCCTTTGGACTTGGTCTTATCTACTCATTGTACTCTTTGGTCTTGGACGTGTCTTGGACTTGACAACGGTGGTCTTGACTACAGCCCCAATGACAACAAACATGAGCTTCTCAAAACTAACGTTTGTGTAACCATCTGCATTAACTAGCCATCTAATGCTGACAGCTATTTAAACAGCTGCTTGAGCCATTGTTTGTTCTTTTTTGTTAGCTTGCTGTTATTGTGATCTATGTGGCTAGATTGATTCTCTCCTCTCTTCACACCCCTTAATTTTACAAAGAGCACAGAATCACTTGGGATGCATATGAAGAAAATGATTACAGAAGAGACGGAGATGCGCTCCTCATTGAACTTGTGCTTCTAGGACAGAATGAGTGAGGCATTAAGTAGGCTATAAACCTACAGGGTACTTAAACATTCATTTCCAAAGGCTTAACATACACACGTAAAAAACTTTAAATTCATAGTGAAGAACCCTCGAGAGATAGATAAATAACAAAAAAATAGGTATAGAATAAAACGGAAGGCACTGACAGCTGTAAAAAGCATATGAAGATTATAATGCTGCAAAAATGTAAATTACACCTTGTGAATGACTTTATAGAAGGAACGATACAGTGCATCAAAATATGAGGTGCTAACTTGTGATTAATGGAATGTGCTGCATGCAGCTTTGATTGTTTTCGAGCTGCTTTGAGTAACTGTCAGTTTTCACTGTAGCCTACATTACCAACTGAAGTTTTAAGTGAACTGCCTGTGAGTCACACCAAAAACAAGTCTGCTCTGAAAATATTGTTCTGTCATTTAGTTAGTACTCTAACCAAACTATTTTTAGAATATTTTCATTCATTTATTTTCATTCAATCATCCATTCATTCATTCATTCATTCATTCGTTTACATGTTTGTGGGCGCCCCAAAGGGAGAGGCCTAGGGCAACCATCCCCTGCTTCCTTGGATCCAGCACATTCTGCTGAAATTGATCCCATACTGATACCTAGTATCACATCAATGGCATCTCTATTTTTGGACCATTTCTGTTAGTCCACTGGTCATCAAGAAAGTTCCTTCCTAAATTACACCTAATTACACTTACATACAAAACCAGGGATCCATGTTATCAATCTTATAAAGTCTCTTACATTTTCCAATAATGTAAAAACTAAAAACTGATAGAAAGCAGTGTTCTGAAACACAACATATGGCAAATCTGGTTCTGGTTATTTGATCTGGGCTCAAATGTATCCAATCACAGCGTTCCAGCTTAACACAGTTTGTTCTCTAACAGGATGATGCAAGACCACTTTCCCTAAAGAAACCTAGCAAGCCAAGTTATTCACTTTGAGGCGACTATAAATCAATCTGTATGCAGATCATAATTGCCACAAGTATAATAATGGAACAGTTTGTACAGCTCCATATGTTATGGGAGTGCCTCATTATCAATATCCTTTGGTTAAATACTGTAATCATGATGGCTGATACCACAAGCATTCATCTAATGACTTCCTTCGCCCTTTATTTTCTTTCACTGATGTACTTTTTCAGTGCCCTTAACAAACACATGGATTTCTAATCTGTTTCTAATCTGATCACCTGCGAGCTTTCAGGGAGCAACTTAACCCTTTAAACCCTGAAGGGTTACAGTGGCAGATTGAAAAGCCCTAGAGAATGGTTTGTTGAAAATGTAAATCTAGGGCTGAAACACATTCATAATTTCCCTACTGAAACACTAGTCAAGCCAAATCATCTTTATTTATACAGCACACTAAAAGTAAACAAGTGTCTGTCAAACTGGCAGGCAATAACACCAACTAATTTCAAATACAAATAGAAAAAAAACAATGGAGGACAAAACAGATGACAAACAAAACAGATGACTGGATGCTATAGACTCTACCTCATTCCCATCTTGCAATCCATGACATTCGGTCCATCAAAGCTGACCAGCAGGTCGCTCATCTGCAGGAAGAGCTCTCCGTCTCGCTCCACAATGCCATGATAGGTCGGCACAAAGCGCTGGAGCACATCATCTCTCAAGCGCTCGAAACATTGCTTCTCGTTCTCTGAGTACTTCTTCAGGATGGTGCCCTCTTCAGCTGCCTTGAAGCTGCCTGCCCCCAAACACATAGACATGAGCCAAAAGCAATGGAAAAAAAGAGCTACCAATGCTAGTACTGAAGTTCATCAAAACTTTAACTTTTAAAACCTTAGGGACTGTACTGGGACTCTGGAGAGCATTCTTTCATCAAATATAGCAAAAATAAAAAAAATATGGTACACATTTCAGAAGACACTTGTGCTGTCTAACAGCACTGAATTAATTTTTAATTTTGTAATAACCTGATCCTACCTTTATGACCCGCTAACTGGACCCAGGACAGACGCTTCCTCTGTGAGGCAACAAAGGGCCAGTGGACAACAGTCTTCAACTTCCACCAGGGTTTGGCCTGCCACAAGACAAATAAAACAGCACTTTTAAATGATCCCTAAAGAGAAGGTTCGGACAAAAAACTAATTTACACAAATTAACCTTCAACCAGTAGTAGTCAATCAGGAAAGACATGTTTGGAATCTGAAGTTTGCTTCTGTACTTTTACACTGGGGCTGTAAGGCTAATGTAGGTAACACATAATGGAAGCTGACAGTTAAGCAATTAGCATTGTGCAAACTGCATGACGGAATCATCACACATATGCCTCAAATTGCATTAAGCTCTTAAGCAATCTCAGACTTGCTCATGTGGTTTCTGGCACTGTATGACAAACTGTTATCTATAGTAAATTAAATTCAGGCTTCAACATGCTCCTATTACTGTTTTTAGCTATGAGACTTACTTTTTTCCATTTTTGTAGAAAACATCACATGAGCCAGGAAAAACACATGAGCAAGTATATTTGAGATTGCTTAACAGCTCTTTGAAGCAGTTTGAAGCTTGTGTGTGATGATTTAGTCATGCAGTTTACACAAGCTCATCTCTGTGCTCCCCGGGTCCTTCATTTTCTCATCGAAATATCTAGGAAACAGCCCAGGGCCCTTTTTCCAGGGCCCTGTGTTGTGTTTTGTATTATGTTCCCTTTTCTTCCTATGTTGTGTACTGTATGTATTGTGATCCCAGTTCATGATTTTCAAAACAGCCCAATGTTCCCTCATTGAACTTTTCTAGGAACTCTGTTCCCATGGGCCCTTGTTTTAGCCCTAAGTTGTCACAATCATGTTTCTTTTTCAGAAGCAACACATACCCAGATATCATGGACCATCTGATGCAACATTCATTTTGTGTATTAACTAATATTTCAAATATATGACATTTCATTTGCCACCTTCAAACTGGGCTTAATGTAGTGAACTACTCCATAACATACTAGTTAGCTAGATTAGGGCTACCACAAAAATGAATCAGAATTGATATGTATTGTACAACCTAGGCTGTCAAATAATGGTTTGCATTACAAAGGTTTGTGTAGCAAGCTAATTAACTCAGCTGGGGGTGAGTGCGTCCCCAAGACCCTAACTGTAACCTTTTGCAAGTTTTCTTAATATCATATTAAGTCATGATGTATCATATAATGAGCTGAGGGTACATAGAACCCTGGGGACATTGGTGTGCTCCTGTTAGCACAATGGTAACTGTTGGTTATTAGCTTCTATTACTTGTTAGTTCCAATGCTTAACTAAAGAAGCAAACTTGTCTAGACTGATCGACTACGTTTGGAGTAAGGGGAGAAAATGTGTAAATTGTACCATAAATTCATAGTATTGCGCATGAAATAGGAAGTTTCAACAAAACAGTCAGTAGAGTTCCATTTTAGTCAATCAACATGCCAGCTGTGCGCTCATCCCTGCTCTTTGATCTCTCACACTTGGGATATAATACAGGTTGGTCTTGAAGACCAACCTGATTAACTGGTTCAAGTGTGTTAATTAAGCGTGAAATTAACGAGCAGCAAGGTAGGTCTCTAGCAGCAGGGTTGGCCACCCCTACTATGAACATTCAAGCGTCATTAATGCAATGAGATTATGTAAATATTAGTAGTAATTAGTTTCTGGAGATCTAGAAGCCTAAGGCTTCATGTGGCAGTGTTCTGCATTGAAGCCTTAGAGATGAGCTCTTGTGAAATGTGCCATGTTCAGCACTGACAGTGTCTTCTGAAGATGACTTTGTGTTCCCTGCGTGACTATCTGACTGCAGCAGTGTGACACAGACTGCAGTTAAGAGCCACAGAAACACTTGGCACTTCAGCTAATCACACATGGTGGTTTGATTTTGTGCTTAAATCCAGTGCCAGCACAGCAATCGTTTTGCACTGAAATAATTTCATTAGCATTTTCACAGCCTGGTTGCCACTCAAAGTGCATAAGTAATTGGACAGTAACAGGTTTTTGTTGTTGTTGTTTTGGCTCCAGTACACCGGATTACAAAGATAAAGGGCACAAATGTCTACTCTGACTTTAAGGTATTTACATATTGGGTGAACCACATAGCTGTCACAGCCTGTCCTGCCCCTATACCGGAGACCCTAAGTACGAACCCAATTCCAAAAATGTTGAGACAGTAGGAAAAATGTGAAGAAAAAAAGTTTGACCTGCAATCAATTGAAAACAGTAGAAAGAAAATATATATAATGTGTCAACTAATTAACATAATCATATGCATGTATATACTCATTCTAAATTTGATGTGACATGTCCCACATCTTCAAAAAAGTGAAAAGGGAAAAGTGATTTTTTTCCTTTTCTTGCTTCATATAACACTTCAGCTGCTCAACAGTCCAGGATCTCTATTGTCGTACTTTGCACTTCATAATGCGCCATGTTTATGTTTTCAACGGGAGACAGGTCTGTAATGCAGGCAGCCCAGACTAGTACCTGCATTCTTACTATGTAGCCATGCTGTTGTAACATGAGCAAAATGTGGCTTGGCAGCGTCTTGCTTAAACAAGCAGGGATTTCCCTGAAAAAGATGTTATCTAAATGGCAGCATATGTTGCTCCAAAATGCATATGTAACCCTCAGCATTAATGGTGCCTTGACAAATGTGTAAGTTACTCATGCCATTAGCACGAACACACCCCCATACCACGACAGATGCTGATTTTTTAACTTGCATTGGTAACAATCGGGATGGTCCTTTTCCTCTTTGGTCCAGAGAACACAATGTCCATAATTTTCAAAAACAATTTTAAATGTGGACTCAGTCTATCTCACATGATCTTTAGCTCAGATGACTTTCACTTTGCATAGTAGGATCTTAACTTGCATTTGTAGAAATAGTCCAAAATAGTCTCGAACCCCTATGGTTATATTCATTACAGAAGCATGTTGGTTTCTAATGTAGTGCCGTCTGAAGAATCGAAGGTCACGGGCATTTAATGTTGGCTTTTGGCCTTGTCCTTCATGCACAGAGATTCCTCTGGATTCTCTGAATCTTTCGATATTTTATGGTCTGTTGATGGCGAAATCTCTAAATTCTTTGCAGTCGTGTGTTGAGAAACGCTGTTCTTAAACGGTTGTACTGTTTTCTCATGCAGTTTTCTCTAAGTGGCGACTGAGCCTTTTGTGAATGTTCCTTTTACACCCGATCATGAAAGCATCCATCATAAATAAAGTTTACATTTAGTAGTTTGTTGCAAATCCACTGCAGTTGTGGCTTCCTCAAGTCTGCAACTCGTATACATAACCAGACGCTATGTGGTACACATTGCCACATGAGCAGTTCCTTTTCTTCTCCACACTTTCCTCATTACAGCTTTCTAGTACATGATAATCTTCATATTACTTGTCCATAAGACCTCTCTACAGGCTTTGTTTTGTACTTTTTAGCAAACTGCCATCATGTTCTCTACTTATTGAGGCTTACCAGGCTTGTATCTTGTGGTAAACCCACTGAGGTAATGCTGGTGTACTCTTCTGTTTATGGTAATCTTTGACATGTTTATGCCTGCGTCACTGATGGTGTTCTTAATCTGTGTAACAGTTATTCTTCATGATTCACTACTGTGGAGTTCTGTGCTTTGACATTTTGTTTACTATGACTAATCTCTCCATTGTTGCTTCTTAACTTTGCTGCCTATGTTGGCGCTTTTTTTACATGCACTAATGAAGTTATGACAAGGCTGTGAAAATGGCCATGATGTTCATATAGTTTACCCAGTGTAGATCTAAATACCCACAAATTACAGGTGTCATTCTGCACTTCGACCTCATAACCAGTATTTCATTTAAAATCAAATGCACTAAAGTAAAGAGCCAATTGAACACATTGTGTCACTGTCCAATGATTTATGGACTGCAATGAATCTGCTGCTGTACTTGTGCTTCATGTCAGATATTTAGATAGTCTTGGAGATCATTATATATATGATTTCATATGATTCCTGAAAAGCACATACATATACTCTCAGCAAAAACATTTCTATAGTGTGCCAAGAAAAGGTTCAATGACTTCTTGCAACAATAGTGCTTTTAGGTGCTACTTTTTTAAAAGGTTCTTCAAAGGTATGTTCACACTTGGCAGGTTTGGCTTGATAAAAACAAACTACAGTTTACTTGGTGTGCACACTGCCATTCAAGCCTTAGTACACACCAAATAAGCAGACAGAGATCCCCCATACACACAATATATGAGCACAGTTAGGCCAGGGAACAGCATGACTCTGAAATGTACAAATATATCATAAAATTAGCCATATCAGATTGTTTCAAATATATGATATGTCTGATATATATTTTTGTCTGATATAAAGAGAACTGAACTACAAAAGCAAACATAACTATAATCATAACCTTGCAGAGGCAACTGTAGAATCATTTATGCAATCAAAGTTGTCATACAGTCAAGTTAATAAATATTTGATTGTCGACAAAGATATTGTAATTTCAGCTGTCTACCATAACATACTGGAATTGAAAATACCAAGTAAATTCCACGGAAAACCCATGGTAAATATTGTAAATACCTTCAAATAAAGCTTAAAGTATGTACTTTGAAAACTGCAAGGCCCTGTATGTTGGGCCACATTTCAGTTCCTTACTTACATATTTACAACTAATATATTAATAGTAGTATCTGAATAATTCTTAAGCTTTAGTATTGATAATTGAATAATAAGCCTACAGGTTAAGGGTGTTAGGTTATATCACAGTTACGATTTCATTAGTATTGACATCTTGTGAGTAGTTCTAACATGTACATCAGAACAGCTGAAAAGTTCTAACGGATAATAATTAACAGGTAACATTAGTGCTGTTCAGATGTTCCAGTGAAGGAATGTGTACTCAGCAGTACATAAGATGTATGTGCTGCACATGATCTCATTAACCAATCTCCGACTTTGCTAAAGAGCAAATCAAACAATTCAACGTAGCTCTAAAATGTCAAGTGATGATATCTGGAGGGTATGTGCTGTCACAGCAGAGCTCTGTGGGCTGAAGCACTGCTGATTCGAGC